AAGTCTGTGGGAAAGCTGGTAGAAAGCTGCAAGGCCCAGGTGTACAGGCAAGTAAACAGCTGCTGCTGGGCAGCGAAGGGAAAAAGGGTCAAGGAGAGTGCACAAAAGATGCAGCAAGGCATGTGGCAGGTGCAAAAGAGTGTGAGGAAGAGCTAATCAAATATATTTGAGGAAGGGCTAATCAAATATATTTTCAAATATATTTGATTAGCATTATCCAATTCCAAATGACTCTGGGTGATTCACAATACATGCATGGGAGATGCAAAATGTATCTCAATGGATATAACTTCTAAGATACGGGAGTTTTTGAGCCCTACCTTCATATTCTATAAACAAAGAAGAAACTAAAAAGAAACAATACAAATATCTGTAACAGAAAGGACTTTTTTTTTTTTTTTGCAGTTTTGCAGTGTGGCTCCTAATGATGCTGAGGAAAATAATCTGCACATAAGTAAAATTTTTAAGGATCCTTGAAAAGTTAAATGTGGTTTCCCTAAATTTTCCCTAAATTATCTTGCATATGTTGTAAAAAAAATAAAGTAGATATAACCCAATTTTCTATCTTTGGAACTAGAATTCCTGTTTCCAAATAAGAATGAATCTTAATTATAATTTTCAAGACTGACAGAAAATAAGCAGTGCATATGCCAATACCCTCCAAGGAAAATAAAAGGTTAAATATCATTTTTACAGCATTTACTTAAAATAGAATCACCAAACTTTCCTGTTATTTCCACAAGGAAGTAGAGTTAGCCTTGAAAATGTTCTATTTAACTAATCTACTAATAGTTTGTCTATCTTCCTTTCTCTGCAAAAACACTTAGCCTCATATTTAAATTTTAGTTTTCGACTGAAAAGTATGAATGTTATAAAGAGGTTCAGAAGATTAAGTTCCATTCTGCCAGATTGTTAGATGTTAAAGATCAGGCCTTTGCAGAATATTTACAAAGTGACATTTATTCCTACATTTAATCAAGGGCTACAAGTACATACTATCTTTTAAACTGTATGCAAACATGATGGAAATATTCTCTTCACATTATCCTTACAGACTTACTATGGACACCTGCTTCATCCATCCACCCAAACTACAAATTTCTTAAAGAACAAACATAGGTTTTAATAATTAATGTTCAAGACCAGTTCTTGAGAAATAATTTCTCACTCCTATTCTTTTTTTCTTCTTCTTTAATTTATATGCCGCCCTTCTCCAGAGACTCAGGGCGGCTTACAATGCGTTCTTAATCTGATATCCCAACTGATAAAAGAAATCATATGAAGCAGAGCCAAAGAAATTACAGAATAGATTCTAGGAATAAAACTAAAAAAATAAATAAAGGTAAGAACATAATATTAATATAAGTTCAACACACCAATATGTAATGTTCAAAAGATCAACCTTCCTCAAATGTTTTGCCTGGATGAACCCTTGAAATTATTTTCATATCTCGGGGAAACCCTACATGAAAATGTCATAATACAATCACTACTACAATAATCTACAAAACTCATGTTTTACAACATATACAACAGCAAAGTGGCAACTGGCAGCTGAATCACACCACATAAAAATTCCCACCACTATGAGAGGTAGCACTGTGCAGCAGAAGAAGTTCAAAAATACATTTTTTCCCATCACACTCTCTCTTGGAAGCCCTAGTAATTTCTCATGAAACCCCAGTGAGAAAGGCTGGATATGATTGATGACATTCTTCCATTGCCAAATGGAAATATAGTACTTTCTCTTCAGCACCTTTTGCAACAACTAGGTTAGATTTAAAATCCAACCTCCAAAACTAAAAAAAAGAGCTTTAAGAGAAAAGCAGGAAATAAAGATGGAGCACAAAACGTAACTTCTCCAATTTTCCGAGTTCACAAAACAACACAGGTTGAGTTTGTTAAACATGCTAATCTGAAACATGATTAACTAGTGGCTCAATGCGTTATATAAGCATACTCAGTAGTTTAATATCCTTGCAATACATTGACAACTTGGTAACTCCTTTTTGTAAAAGACTGTTTATTTTTCACTATTATTTTTAAGTAGAAATATGCTTAAATATGGATAAAGATAAGTACAGAGGAAAGGGATAAAGTTGACTAAGTGATCATATACAGCAGAGTATGCTCCATATTATTTAATTTACGGTACCTGTAACATCTTAGCACTACAGACACACCTTATTATCACAGCAGGTGGCAGTATCTACCTGACCTTGTCTAATCTGAGACTAAGTAGACTTGGATATGACTTAGAAACAAGACTACTATACAGAAAATCCAAGGGCTCTATGTAAATTAGATTAAAAAGGTTGTTTTAGTGGCAAACTATGTCCATATTTTTCTCAAACATATTCAGGTAGTCATTAATAGTCAAGTTCAACATAATGAGAACTTTACTTGTTTCCATTGTTATATTAGGTACATTTATTTATCTATTTTAGAAATGTATAAGGTTGCCAACTCTGGGTGACATACACTAAAAACCATTATACAATATATTTAAAAAATCCAAAATTCCACTAAAAATTGGAAAAGTACACCTTATGGGAAGAGCACTGGTGAAAATTATATCCAAATTAGTGCCATTTGAGCAAAAAAGATGAAAGAAATTAGTTGCACAATAACAGAGGTTTCATTTCCATTATTCTAACATAATACAAGATGACTTGAATTTTTCCTCATCAACATAGATTAGAATTCTTTATTGGCCAAGTGTGATTGGACACACAATGAATTTGTCTTGGTGCATACGCTCTTGGTATACATAAAAGAAAAGATACATTCGTCAAGAATCATAAGGTACAACACTTAATGATAGTCATAGGGAACAAATAAGCAATCAAATATTAGGAAAGAGTCAATATAAATCGTAAGGAATACCAGCAACAAGATTACATTCATACAGTCATAAGTGGGAGGAGATGGGTGATAGGAACAATGAGAATGACTGCAGTCCTATGATTACTTCTTCCAGAAATAATTCCCATTAAATGCAATGGGAAATCATTTCTCCTGATGAAATCCTTGTTTTGCTTTCTACATGAAAGAAGCCCTAACCAAGGGTTTTATCATGTCGTTGATGGACCAAGTATTTTTACCATTTTACTACATGGCGGGGTATTATGAAAGTTTTATAAAGCTATACAGTAATACTCCTCAGTTTCCGCTCTCAAAAACAAAAATTTAAAAATATAGTAACATCTATGTAGATTCGAAGTTCAATGTGAATTTAGCCAGTTCAACAGGGCTTTAACCTGTTAGCCTTTTTTTTTGCAAATTTCACCTTCATCCCACATTAAGTACCTTTTTTATTGCACTGCATTCCATCCCCCACCTCTTTGTGGCCTTATCCACAAAGTCTGGTAGTTTAGCTCTAATCAGATGAAGCTGAAGCACTATGGAGAATGTTGCTTGGATTGTTATAGCCAGTTGAGTTAGTGTAGGAATAGACTTTTTAAAAAAATGAAATAGTGCACCCTGACAGGAAAAATGAAACAGCACAACATTCTCATGATAAAGACACTGCTTAGTTTTGCTGAAAAAGCCAGGTACTGTTGACAAGAACGAAAAGCTAAAATAACGATTGATATTATCGCTCATAAGTTTATGTATATATGATTATGATGATTATGATGATGATGTTCATATGTTAACACTTTGGCCACCTAGAAAACAGACTGTTCACCATAGAAATGGAATAGGTGGTATAAAACAATAAAAAATATATGTACTGAGCTGCTGATCACTGCCTCAGAATGAGTAGTCAGCCTTTACTCCCCCCCAAAAAAAGAACAAAAAGCTAAGGTTTGATTATTTGTGTACAGTATACATGCACTGAAAAGATTCACACAGTAGACAGCTACGGTAGTTCCCCTAAGAAAGCAATGTGGATGGGTGGTACAAGGTTGACTTAAGAAGGTACACTGTACAATATGGCAGTCCTCAACTTACAACAGTTCATTCAGTGACCGTTCAAAGTTACAACGGCATTGAAAAATGTGACTTATGACCATTTTTCAGAGTTATGACCTTTGCAGCATCCCTACGATCGTGTGATCAAAATTCAGATGTTTAGCAACTGGTTCATATTTATGATCCTTGCTGTGTCCTGGGGTCATTTGCGACCTTCTGATAAAGCAAAGTCAATGGGGAAGCCAGATTCACTTAACAACCGGGTTACTAATTTATCAACTGCAGCGATTCACTTAACAACGGTTATGCAAGAAAGGTCGTAAAATGGGGAACAACTCAGTGAACAAACCCCTCACTTGACAAGAGAAACGTTGGGCTCAATTGTAGTCGTACCTCGAGGACTATCTTACTACTACTGCTTACTACTACTACTAAGAGCTGTCAGTGTCCCTTTAGCAACGCGTCCGCTTCACCTGCTAGTTTCAGCATTGCTTTTAAAGCAAAGTCTTTAAGCCCCAAAAGCAGCAGGTCCCCACTTTCCATTCTAGCCACTTTCCTCTTGTACGTGAAGTGCTATCTTGTTTTTGTTTCACACACTACACGCACAACCCCATCCAGTCTGCAGTTTAAACTCCAGCTGAGATCGGTGTGTGGATGATCCTGCCAAGAAGAGCCCAACCAATCGACGGAGCCTGGGTTCAAATTACTGGGGAAAGCGGCTTGGGTAGGGGCCGCTTCGTTCCTGCGCCGGGCGGCGGTAGTTGTTGTTTCCCTTTTAGCTGACAGGGCGAACGCCAAGGCGGAGCCAGCGCAGAAAAAATACAAGCCGGCTCGGCTAAGCCAAAAAAAAAAAGACACCACCACCAAAAAGCGTGGAAAAAAAAATGTCATGCCGCCGAAGAGTCTCGGCGCCCAGAAAGAAAACTCTCCTTGCTTTGGAAGCCCGTCCCGGGGAAAAAAGGGCTGGAAGCGAGCCGGACCTGGGCTCTCCCGTTGCTCTCCCCCACCCAAGACAGCCGCACTCGCCCCGCCGCACCTCGGCGGAGCTCCTTCCATCCAGCCACCCTGCCCGACCCGCGAACCTTGTTGAGGGCAGGGTCGCGTAAAATATCGCAGCCCCTCTTGGTGGTCCACCTAGGTTTCCTCCCGGCAGGTGCGGCGGCTTCCATGCTCGGGGCCGGCCGGTTGCTGAGCAGGGGAATCGCTGGTTGGGGCCGCACTGGTCGGCGGATGAGACGCCTGTTGCCGGTGGTTGGCGCTTATGGCCGGGGCTGCTGAGGCGGCCGCCTCTTGGGAGGAGGAGGAGGAGGAAGAGGGAGAAGGAACAGAGCTTCCCCAACTGCCTCCTCCTCCTCCGAGGTCAGTAGGGCATTGGGAGTCGCTGAGTTATTCCGGAGGAGTTGTTGGAAGCGGCCGCGGAGGCACTTAAGGTGTTTCCCCGGCGGAGGGCATTAGCCGTGAGGGGCGCAGACTCCCATCGATCCGGGTGGCATGGCATCGTTTTCCTCGGCCGCACCTTAGCTTCACACCTGCGGCAGATTTCCCAGTCCGTGGGAAATCTAGGATAATTGCAAAGATAATTTGAAATGAGCCCCTTGAGGAAATATTCAAGCGAGGTTGAGTGCATGCTGGTGTATAAAGAGGTAGCTAAATTAGTTAAGAGTTACCATAATTTTAGGATAGGGGACTAGGAAAGAACTGGCCGTTGCAAGCCACCCTGGCTGCCGAATCCAAGAGTGTGATTTCTTGCTATGTTGAGATAGGAAGCAAATTAAAAAAATATAGGCCCTAAAACAGGTTTATGTCTTAAAAAACAAACAAACCACAGATACTCTCAGAAACCTACTCTCACCCACAATTGAGCTAGTCTTAGCTATTTCGTGATCTTATCCCCATCCCACCATGGTTACATCTGTCATAAATAGTAAAATATTTCCAGGCAAATTTAAGTTCTGTGTACAAAATGGTGGTGATTTTGGAACAGGAACTCTGTGAGAAGGCTATTTTTAGTCACATTTATTAACTCATGAATAAAAAAAAAAACAATTGTAGACATTTAATTGCTTTACAATTTGAGCATATTTTTTTCATTGCACTTAATGCACAACACCATTGCTTGCAAATTAATATGGTAACAACATAATCTCTCCAAACGTGTTAAATATATTGCCCAGCCTATTTAATAGTCTATAATACTTGGCAACCACATTCAGTTTGGATCCTGCGTATTTAATCTGTGGTCAGCATCTTTTCATTAGCTAAAACTCTAGAGCTTTAAGATGCTAATATTTTGTAATATACAATATTTTTGTGAAGAAAAAACTCACAAAAGTTGTTTGGACCAACTTCACTTTAAACTTCAAGGATCAGCCTTGAGAACTGCATGGATGTTTGACTTGTAGGTATCAGGAAATACCTCTTGTACTTTCTGGAAAACATTTTCTGTCACATCATTTTATAATTTACCTAAAATGGTGTCAGTTTACAATTTAACTATGTGCTGTTGAGTGTGCTAAGCTTGCAGAGACATCAAGGGCATTCATGAAAGTATAGATTCTTTGGCACACATATAATTTATCTGTAATAAGAGCCTATAGTATTGCTAGTGTAATTTAAATATAGTTTAGCTTATTTAATTCTGTCATTTCATCTATTTCCCAATTTCCAGCAAAAACAAAATCTGTTGTTACAAAGAAAATCTCTTGCCTTTTAATTAGAAGCAGTTCTAGAATCAAACACCTTTTTTCCTTTAGTAAAAAGTAAATTAAAAGGATGAGGTAAGAATACTTTTACAGTCCAGTGTTTAGTTGCTTATCACAAAATAAATCACAGTCTTGATGTATTTGTTTGTATTTCTACATTAAATTCAGTACTCCAATGCAACAATTGCTGAGAGACAGAGGATGTTTCTGGCTATGTTCTATGCTATAAAAGTAGAATGACAGTTTGGTTGAGTCAGCTTTCTAGCCATATGAGATAATGTGTGCCAGGCTCAAACTCTTAATCCAGCAATAATTACCATATAACATGGGGTTAGACAGTACTTCTAGCGTTAAGAGAAGCAAAAAAGTAACACTCTGAGGTAGTTCATTTAATCTTGTACCCTGAATCGTTACTCTTAATCCCAATAGTAAAAGGATGCCTTGTCCCTTGAAATCAAGGTAGCTAATCTCTCAGCATATTGCATATTCTTACCAATATGCAAGCAAACCTTCCCTAGATCAGCAAATTGTACAGACTTTAACCTTCAAGTCCAAAAAGGCAAAATGTTTTCTTTTTCATGACAAGGTTTTCAGATGATATGGCCTCAATCTAGCACAAAGGGCAGGTTATTGCTGTTGTGAGCAGCCCCTTCTATAGTCAGTTGAGTACAGTATAAATAGGTCCAGCTATTTTCTTAGTTAAACTTCATTAAGAATCAGGATTATGTAATTTCATTTAATGAATCAGCAGAAAAGGTTATCTTTCTTAGGAGAGCTATTGTTGACAAGAGCAATTTAATATTAACATGGAAATAAATTCTTATAAGTGAAAGATCTACTGAGAGTTGATTGTGTTAAAAATAACTACATTGGTGTATGGTTAAGGTGCTAGCTAGAAACCAGGAGACTGTGAGTTCTAGTCCCATTTTAGGCATGAAAGCCTGCTGGATGATTTTGGGCTAGTCCTTCTCTATCAGCCCAGTCTACCTCACAGGGTTGTGAGGAAAATAGCAGGAGGAAGGAGTCTTATATATGTTTGCCGCCCTGAGTTACTTACAAAGTCAGAATAATAAATATTAAAGTATTTTGCAAACCACATAGATCTTTTTTTTTTTAAAAAAAGTGAAAGCCTGGATTTTTTTCCTGGTTGAGCAGTTTATTTTTAATAAAATACCTTAATGGTGTTGAAAAAAGGAAGATCTTGGAGACCGCAAAGCTGGATTTACTGTTGACAGAGACTGACCAAAAAGGAATCAACTATAGAAAAATGTTAAATCCAACATTTACTTCAAGAGGATTGGAGGAAAACTATGGCAGGAACTTCAGTATATACATTGCAGTCTTCACCAAGTCACAGAACAGAAGGTTCAAAAGAAAACCTTTCCTAAAGGTGTCACTTAATTTGTCTTGAAAAGTAGTCTGGATATAGGTCCCAAAATGAAACAATAAAAAAGGGCTCAGAAAGAAAATAATTACAGTGCAGCAAAACCCAACACTGTCTTCTACCTTTCCTCAACTGATAGAACATACCCGATAAACTTCCTCTGTTTTATTGTAGCAGTCCTGCTTACTCATCAGACTCAAGAAAGGACTACAAGAATACATGAAAAGAATGTAATGGGTAAAGAACCACAACAGGGCTTAGACTTAAAAACTGAGCTAGCTGACCTATATCTTCCTGGCAGTGCTGAGAATGACCGAGAATGCTTCAGGGATGTTGTCCATTCATGTGCATTGAAGATATTAGGACTCTCCAGCAGCACAACTGGTTTGATGAAAATGATGAGATACAGGCTTTACTTGTTGAAAAGCATCCCTTTCATCATGTCCATCAGGACAGCTTATTATCAGCTGCCAAGAAAAACGCCTTTTCCATTGCTCGTAGGATAGTCCAGAATTAAAATGCATAAAATGCAAGATGCCTGGCTGGGCACCAAGGCAGACAAAATGTAGGGATATGCTAATAGAAAAGACGTGAAATGGTTTTATTAAGTCTTTAGCACTCCCTGGAGACCTCAGTGTGTTGGGAATAGCAGTACAGATGGTACAACTTTTCATTACGGAGAAGACTTAGATCCTGCAGAAATGGGCTGAACAACTTCTAGCCCTCCACAAACAACCATCATTTATTAGTAAAAGATGATGGACAGGATTCCCCAAGTTGACACCAACTGCACCATGATTGACCTGCTGGTAATAGCATCAAGAGCTGAATTGCACACTATGCAACCAGTGTTGATTTCATGAAAGTCTTCAATACTGTCAACCAAAAAGGGCCCATGAAGGGTCATGTCAAAGTTTGACCAAATTCAGATGATATGTCAGTTCCATGTTGGCATGATGGCCAAGTGCTGGAAAAGAGAATCCTCTAAAGCAGGGGTGCCAAACTTGCGTCATTATGTGATGTATCACTACTTTTTTCCCATTCGCTAAACTGGGCATGGCCAGCGTGTGACGCTTCTGGCCCATGGGCTGCAAGTTTGAAAGCCCTGCTCTAAGGCGTTCACAGTTAGCAATTGGGTTAAAAAGGGCTGTTTGCTTGCTCCCACACAGTTCAGCATGATGATTATTGTCATGCTGAATTATGTCTTTCAGAACAGTGATGCTGGAATCCGCCTCAAGTTCAGAGAGGATGGGAAGCTATTGGCAAAGTGAAGGAAATGGTTCTGGGACCATTTGCTGCCGACTGAGCCCTGAATGCTGGCACAGAGCCGGAGTTGCAAGTCAATATGAATAAATTCTCTATGGCTTCTGACAACTTTGGATTCACCATCAATATGCAAAAGACTGAAGTAATGCACCAGTCTGCTCATCATGTACCACACAGAATACATCACAATCAAATGGCAGAAACATAATGGACCAGTTCAATTACTTTGGCAACACTCTGTGACCATTGATCCATAAGTTAACTATAGAATGACAAGGGTGTATTCAGCTCTCAAGTATACTGCACTCAATTGTGCGGGAATGTCAAGGAACAAAATAGTCCAGCAACAAAATTGAAGTTCTGCAGAGCTGTGGTACTCACTATCTCTCTCTATGCCGGTGAAATATGGACTGTGTATTCAAAGCATGCAAAACCACTCAACTATTTCCACATGACTTGTCTTCTCAGAATTTTAGGCAACAGATGGCTTTTGTTCTTCACACTTCTTTCCACTTTCAGGAATTCATAGACTTATTTTTAATCTTCCTTTACTTCTTCCACCTCATTCGTTCTTCTTATATTCGTTCTGCAATTTAGTCATCATTCAATGTATCTATATGACCAAATATTATCCGTGTACCTCTGTCACAATGCACAATCACTTTTGTATTCATTCAGCAACCATATATTCTTGACCCAAACACTTTTTTGCTTTAGAACACAACACTTTTTAAGTACCCATTTCTGCTGCATTCATCAACTTTGATGTTTCTCTTGACAGACATAATTCTCACTTCTATATAAGAAATCAAGCAGAAATAGAATATTATACATAGCCATTTTCCAATTCTTTCAATAAGCATTCATTTTCTGAAGCACACCATGTATATTATCAGAAAGCCTTCCACCCTTCCAAGGTCAGTAAAATGAGGACCCAGATTGTTGGAGGCGATATGCAAATACTTACATTGAAAACCTCCCAGAGTGTGCTGTAAAGTGCTATGGGGCGGTGTGTAAGTCTAAATGCTATTGCTATCCACTACATTTCTACCACATTTTTCCACCCATTTTTTTTTTAGTTAGCATTCTACCAAGGTATACAGATCCACTGACTTTCTCCAATCAGTCCGTTTTCACTATAAAGCTGAGTAACAGAAATCTGGAGTAAAACAACCAAAAGTGGATCATTTGAACAAAGATGTATGTATTTGTTAAATCCAAATGTCAGTTTAATCCAAAATTATATAATCGATGTCAATTACATAATTAAGTAGTTGAACTTTAATGTTATTTGTGTCACTTTATAGCAGTTGCAACATTAAAAGACATAACTGGACATAAACATGTTCCTTATAATAAAAAAGGTGACTAGCTTCTATATCTCCCGTTCTTTCAGCAATTGCTATTTTGAAGTCCCATTTGGTCAATATCATGGAATGCACAGAGAAAAACAAAGTATTTTTGCTTATCTGCTGTAATTATCCTGCCATGAACCAATTTTATCTCTATGTAAACCCAGTAGCTGTATACTGCAGATACAGCCTACATAGATAGTATTTAGGCTGTATCTGCAGTATACAATTCAACAGTATTATTGTTTTAACTTTGTATGCCACTCAAAGTTACTGTTGTGAGATGGGCAGCCATATCAATCATGGTCCTGATTCTTGGATGGGAGACCAACAGGAAATCACTGTAGGCTGGACTGGAAAGCTGGGAGGGGGGGCGGGAATCCTGGAAGAAAATGATGGCAAATGTTTCCTTATTTGATTGATTAATTGATGTAACTACTCAATTCAGATACATCAGGCTGAGTGGCTTACAATAAAAAAAAATACATACATATAATCAGACATCTTAAAACAACCATTAACATAATCAGAAGAGAGCTGTTGCTTTTGGAAACCATCATGTTACCAACATGATGGAAACCATCATGTTACCAACATGATGGAAACCATCATGTTACCAACATGACAACAGAATAAAATAAATTCTACAAATGTGGTAGCAACCCTAAAAATATATTTTCAGTTATTTGACAGATTTATTTTTATAAAACTTTTTGAAAAAAGCAGATGAAAAAGATTTAAGTCAATAAATCACATAACAGTCAAACTTAACCTAAGAGAGCAGTTCATTTTATTCCTGTTTCTCAGCTACATATTTGTTGAAGACCTTTGTATTCCATATACTGGTAGTCCTCCACTTACGATCACAATTGAGCTCAACATTTGTGTTGTTAAGTGAGACATTTGTTAAGTGAACTTTGCCCCATTTTACGACCTTTCTTGCCACCGTTGTTAAGTGAATCACTGCTGTTGTTAAACTAGTAACATGGTTAAGTGAATCTGGCTTCCTTGTTGACTATGCTTGTCAGATGGTCGCAAAAGGTGATCACATGACCCCGGGACATTGCAACCATCATAAATATGAGTCAGTTGCCATGTGTCTAAATTTTGATCACATGACTATAGGGATGCTGCAATGGTCCTAAGTGTAAAAATATTTATTTATTTATTTTATTAAATAAAATATGGTCATAAGTCATTTTTTTCAGTGCCATTGTAACTTTGAATGGTCACTAAATGAACTGTTGTAAGTCAAGGACTACCTGTATAAGCATCTCTTCAGTCTTCTAATTAAATTTAATATCTGTTGACTTTATGTCAGTACAGCTGAAGTTTCTAATAATGTTATTTCATATTTTCCAGGAGTTTGGATGCTTTAAGCTAAAGGTAATTATGCAATCCTGAGATTCTGATACTTTTTCCTGGCAAACAGCTTTGCTGGTTCAGCTTGTTCTCCTTGTTTTCAATCTGCACTCATAGGTAGGACAAGGTCAGCCGGTTGATCTGGGGAAAAAAAAAACACCCTGGCCTACAACTTGTCCTGCTTCCACATATGGCCTACTTTACAATTTCCATTTATGTATTATAATGAATCCAGGATTTGCTTCAAAAGAAACAAATCTCCTATTTTCTGTTTGCACTTAATTTTAAGTGATTGCTAATAGCTGTTTACTCTTGTGGTTGTTTGTTGATTTCCATGATTTCTGATTACATGCTGAGGAACATCCATCCTTGCCTCTTTTACCTTGCCTGCATATAAGTATACCATTGACTAAAAGTCTGCAGAGATTCTTAGTCATCCAGGTCATCCCAAAGGTACTTTTGAGGATGAAAAGCTTGGATGAGAAACGAAACATCTTCAAAGGAAAAACAAGAAAGTCCAGTTGCCTCCTGAAAAAACACCTTTGGAATACCATTGACTACCTCCAAATTGTTCTCAGACAGAGGTGGGTTTCATCAGGTTCTGACCAGTTCTGGAGAACCGGTAGCGGAAATTTTGAGTAGTTCAGAGAACCAGTAATAAAAATTCTGACTGGCCCCGCCCCCATCTATTATCTGCCTCCCAAGTCCCAGCTGATAAAGGAGGAAATGGGGATTTTGCAGTAACCTTCCCCTGGATTGGGGTGGGAATGGAGATTTTGCAGTATCCTTCCCCTGCCATGCCCACCAAGCCACGCCCACCAAGCCATGCCACGCCCACCAAACCACACCCACAGAACCGGTAGTAAAAATTTTTGAAACCCACCACTGGTCTCAGAGGTTGAATTTAAAAAAAAAAAAATCATGCACACCCCAAAAGGATGCCCGTTCCTGCTACATATGCTTTTACTTTTGGGTTTGGGATTTTTATCCTTTGCTTCTATATTCTCCCAATTTTTTGAGGAATGGTTGTCTTCCTGAAGTGATTAGTCAAAAGGGGCCCTGGATTTGTTTTATAGAAGGAAAACACAAAGACGGGAGGAATTCAAACTGAGTTGCTTCATGCTAGATTCAAGGAGTACTTTCCAAGAAATTCATCCTTACCGAGTAAATACACATAGGGTCAAGCTGCAGAAGATATAGGAGTTTAAAGCACAGATTAAGGTGAAAAGAGTTTAAAAGGATAAGCAAACTAATATTAGTGCAGAAAATTGGGTGGACCTTGTGCACTAGTTGGAAACAATCTAAGCCAAGTGTGCATTGTGGAGGAAAGTTTAATTGCACAATATAATGATGCAATAGTGAAAGATCTCAAGAACATTATGTGAATGGTGAACCTAAGAAACAGTGGAAAAAAAATCCATAATATACGTAGCAAGGTAGTGATTAATTAAGGTAGTGATGAGTTATCTGCTCAAAGGGTATTATTAAGGGTTTGGTAATTTTAAAAGCAAGCATATGCCTTACGTTTCTGTATAAATGATGAAAACCAGGAGTGGCAGGAGTGGAACAATTCAGCAACGTAAAAGAAGTTAGATTTGTACTGTATACTGTATATTGAATATGTGCCTAGTTTTGTAGGGAAGAAGTCTCCATCCAAGGTCCCTCTCATATTTCAGGTTAAGACTGGGAAATGCTTAAAAATGCTGCTAAGATAATTTGTATGAACTGTGTTGAGTTACAAAAGATAATGCAGCTTGCTGAGTGGCATGCTTCCTTCTCTGTTTTTGCTGGTGGCAACTTGGAAAAGGATTACAAAATACACAACAAGTGCTTTGTCTTAAAACTATAGTGCAATACTGTTGGTGAGGAAGAATTTGGGGAGCAAGAAAAGAAAGCAAACATGAATAAAATTGTACAGTTGTTAAAATTAAAAATAATATCCGTTTAGGCCTTGTTCATGTAAATAGCCTGAGGCCTATTCTGGTAAAGTTATTGGAGCATACTAAATGTGGGAGTAGGGATTTACTTCAATGTTCAATCATCTCTTTCAGTTTCTTAGAGAAAGGTAAGATTAATATATTTTGTAACTTCATAATGTGACGTTAATAACCGTAATTTCGTAATGTGAATAGGCATATTACCAATGGTCTCCTGGGTGAGCAGGAAAATTTGCATGACCAGAATATGTTTAATCCATTATTTTATTGGATTAATCCATTATTAATCCTTATTTTTCCATATAAGAAGCTCTTCTGAACATCTGAATCCAGCTTTTCTGGATTCTTAACATCCTTAATATTATGTTGTCAATATCAATCCAAGATCCATTGTTAACTAGAAAACAGATAGCTATCCATAAATTTGGTTTGCAATAATGCCTGAAAGTAATTTGTAAGTTGTTGCCAGCCAAGTGATTGGCCTGTAATTTTCAGGTTTATTTCCCTTTTCTGCAACCTTCTGAATCAAAAAAGTTCTTCCAGTTGTTAACCATTTTTCACTTTCTGGTGTTTCCAGAACCTGATTCATCTGGTTTGCTAATCTTGCATGCAAACTTGTTAAGTGACTTCAGCCAGAATCCATGCAGCTCTTCTAAACCAGGGGCACTTTAGTTCTTGACCTTCTTTGCTTGTTTTTTGCACCATTTCTTTTGTTATGTGAACATCTTCCATTCTATTAGGGGAGCCAGTGGTCATATGTGAAATTCCTAGAATAAAATGATAAACAATTGTAGCTGTATTCATGTACTATTACTCGCTGTCCAGAGTCATTTATCTGAGATGGGTGGCTATAGATATTGAATAAATAAAAGTCAAATAAGCTGCTTAGTTTGTATTTTTCCACTTGGTTATATGTACCCATGATGCTGATCTTTGTTGACTATGAAGTAACTGCAGATGGACTTTTATAATGAAACAAGTACAAACATTTGTTATTCCAGGTCCGATGGACTCATAGAAACATAACATCTCTATTTGTACAGCAGCCAAACCATTTGTTTAATGGCAATTTGTTGGAAAAACCACAATGCGCTAAATTTGCAAAGCATGTTAAGCCATAAACATATAAACCACAGTAGCTGGTGCATATAATAAGTTAAACCCAAAAAGAGCCATATTATCTAAGCGTGCTGAATAAATACAGCTAGCATATTAGTATTTGTTTATTTATATCAATGTAAATCCCACACGCCATGGGGTACTCAAGTTAGCTAACAATCCAAACTATAATATAAACCATAAATATTTTTCATTAGGGCTTGACATGCTCCTCTCTTCTGTTCAACATCTGCATAAAACCACGGGTGAGGTCTTCTGCCAGTTTGGTGTGTGGTGTTATCCATATGCTGATGATACCCAACTTTATATCTCCATCTCAAGTGCCCATATGAAGCTATCAATGCATTGATCCAGTGCCTGGAGGCTTTTGGGTCTGGGTTGGGCAGAACACACTTTAGTTGAATCCTAACAAGACTGAGTAGTTGTGACTGTATGGGCCCCCTGAGTGGAGGATGCCTCTATCTTGGATGGGACTGCCTTTCCCCAGGCAAGATTGGTTCATAACTTGGGAGTCCTTCTGGATTTGCAGCTACTGTTCAAATAGCAGGCGGCAGCTGTGGCCTGGAGGGCCTTTGCACAGGTTTATCATGTACATTTTTCCTTGGTTGAGGAGGGGGATTTGGTTACCTGGAAGCTACACTGGGTCAGAATGCAATGGTGCCAGGAGTTACTGCTGATGTGCCCATGTGTCACCACTGCTATGCAAGCTGCATTGCCTGCCAGTTGGCTGTCAAGTGTAACTCAAGGCGATAGTTATTACCTACCGGTATAAAGCCCTGTATGGTATAGGGCAGTGATGGCTAACCTTTTTGCCATAGCGTGCCAGGAGAGGGGGGACGGGGGAGGGTCGCGCATACACGTGCCCACGCGCATGCACTCCTGGCACATGATGGCCTGGTAGGCCCGTTTTTCTTTCTTACCTGGTTCCAGATCCTCTCTATTTATCTGGGAAGGGCAAAAACAGCCTTTCTCACTCCCTCAGAGGCCTTCCAAAGGCCTGAAACGGCCCATTTCCCAACTCCCGGTGGGACAGCAAAAAAGTCACTTCCTGTCCCACCGGGAGTCGGGAAATGGGCCCTTTCAGCCTCCGTAGGGCCTCCAAGGGAGTGGGAAAGGCTGTTTTCGCCCTTCCCAGATAAATAGAGAGGATCTGGAGCCAGGTAAGAAAGAAAAACAGGCCTTCCCCACCCACCCCAGGCCCTCCAGAGGCAGGAAACAGCCTGTTTCCCTACTTCTGGTGGGCCCAGAAGGCCCGAAAATCAGCTGGCTGGCACACCCATGCGCCCCAGAGCTGAGCTGGCATGCCCACTAATATGGCTCCGCGTGGCACCTGTGGCACGCGTGCCATAGGTTCGCCATCATGGGTGTAGGGTAGTGTTGGCGAACATTTTTGGCATTGAGTGCCAAAACGGGAGCATGCATGTGCATGTACTTACCTGTGTACCAAAAATCAGAAGAGCAGATAATTTTCTGGTTTCCGGTGCACATGTGCGCCAACCACCTGGTTTTCTGGTTTTTGGCATGCATACACCTGTGCAGACCAGCTGTCCAGTGCGCATGCGCCAGCTCCACCTAGCCTTTCGGGGATCCTCGCGCCTCCCTACCCGACCCCTGCCTGCCTCCCTAGTCCCTGCTGGGTTGGTGGGACATGCCCATTGATGACCCGGTTCTGCAGGCCCAGACAGAGAGAGAAATTTGGGTGGGGAATGCCATCTCCCTCTGCTGGAAAGCCGGAGCCCCTTCCCGACCTCGGAGGGAAGGAACACGAATGTTCCTGGGGCTCGGGTTGGGGGGCCAGCAGGCGGGAGACTTTCACCCCAAGTCTGGCTGGGATGAAGCGCCCTCCCCAACCCACCACCAAGAACAAGCCAGCGCAGCCCCCTTCTTCCGGGCCACTTCCTGGCTGGGGTGCCTCTTACCCTTCGGCGGCATCTCTATGCGTGAGGAGCTGCGTTCTCCTCCAGCCCTCCTGGGTCAGTTCGCCTCCCCAACGGCAGCTCCTCCTCCTTTTCCTCCTGGCTACTCCAGCATCCTGGCCAGAAGCGGCATTCCAAGAACAGCCACCACCCCCTCGGCCCTCGCAGCTGCAGGAGCAGCAGGTGGGGCGGGCGCCCGCTCAGTCAACAAATGCTGCCCTGCTGTCCTGTGCGCCTGAGCCGGCCAGGCACTCCAAATCATGGACGCACATCAGTGCTGCAGATTGGAGGGCTGGGGCTGCGAAGAAGTCCACTCGGCGTCCGCTCGGAGGGAGGGAAGCCCAGGCCCGCCTGTCCTGGCTGGCAGCTCTGCTCCCCTTGCTCTTCTGGGTTCTGGCGCACTGGCCATCTGGTCTTCCCATGCATGGGAGTGCTGGAACATGGAAACCAAAAGAGCAGCCGCCCAGTATGTATGTGTGCGCTGGGAAGATGATGTTCCGGTTTCCGGTGCATGCATGCGAACTGGCCAGCTGGTCTTCACGTGCACATGCGCACCAGAAACCAGAAGACCAGCTTGCCGCACGCATGTGCATTGAGCGGCTGCTCTTTTGATTTCTGGTGTTCCCACGCGCGTGAAGACCAGTGGCTGGCATGCCGGAACCTGGAAGAGTAATGACCGATGGCTTACGTGCCCGGAGAGATGGCTTTGCATGCCACTTCCGGCACACTTGCCATAGGTTCATCATCATGGGTATAGGGCCTGGTTATTTGACGAATATTTGTCTCCAATCATTTCTGCCAGCCCAGTGCATTCCAGCAGAGTGGGTGCACTCCAGATCCCCTCCATTTAACATTGCTAGCTCAGAGGAGCTAAGAACCGTATCTTTTCTGATGTGACTCCCATCTTCTGGAACAGCATCCTTCAGAAATAAGGAGGGTGCCCTCTCTTCTTGGTTCCCGAAAGGTGTAAAAATCTGGCTTTTGTTTCAGGCCTGGGGTTGATGTTTGTAATTTGTTCAATAGCCCCTATTTTGTTTTGTTGCTTTTGTTGTCCATCAAATTATTTTACACTGGGCTGTCTATGTGATTCAATCTTTTTAGCTGTTTTTTCTATTCTTCCGAGTTTTGTACACCACCCAGAGACTACTGGAGTTGGGCAGCCAATAAATTTAAATAATTAAATATTCAGTAAAAAAAAATGGCTAGAGAAGTTATTTTTCCAGCTTAAAAATCCTGGCCAAAGAGCAAGGTCTTGATTGGTTATCTGAAGATGGATAGTAACCAAAAGTTCCAAGAAGTTCCTTGGAGTTCTGAAACGTACGTGTGAGAGGATAGAATCTACTACTGATACTATAATGTGACTTGGCCTCTCAACTTTATTTGTATGGATTTGTGTACATGAGAGGGAAAACAGAATAATCCATGAATCAATATACATAGTTCTAATGAGGGAAATCTGTTTCAAAGGAATGTCTGTTTCATAAGCATGCATTTTTGGGAACAGATAGGCTAAGTCCCTAATTCAGAAAAAATCAATTTTATTCAGTTAGCACCTAGTTCTGTTTAGAAGGCCCAGGAAATAATAGACTGGTAAAGGAAATCAAAGGTTAGCCAAGATACAGGGTGTGGAAACTTTTAGAATTGCCCAAATTGCATATATTTAAAGGTATTAAAGTTCCATGCAAACTTGGGTCAAAAATGCTGCTAATGTATCACAACCAGTGGTGGGATTCAAATAATTTAACAACCAGTTCTCTGGGTAGGCGTGGCTGGGTGGTCATGTGACTAGGTGGGCGGAGATCAGTGAAGGAAGGCTCACCAGGCAGAAATCAGCTGGGCCGTGTGGTCGAGGCAAGCGAGGGAACCAGAGAGCAGCAGTAGCTATGCCATGGGCATGACCATGGTGGGCGAAGCGAGATGAGGAGTGAGTGGGAGGGGAGGGGCAGGGCGGGAAGGGAGGGGTGGGGCCAGCCAATGGTGCAATTTGCCGGTTCTCCAAACTGCACAAAAATTTAACAACTGGTTCATGTGAACCGGTCCTAACTGGCTGAATCCCATCTCTGATCACAACTATTTGCTTACTAGTTTCTCAACCCAAATACTGTACTGAGACAAATATGCAATACGAAGACCATTTAAAGGAGAAACTATTAGACTTAATAAAAAGAACATGGAAAATGACGTTTGTTTTTTGAGAGGATTGATGGAAGTATGATGGGTTTTAAACACATTGTTTAAAAGCCCAGTTTATTTAATAATATGGTTCTAATTCTTAGGAGTTGATTGACAGAAACAATAAAAATATTCTTTGTATTGTATTGCAATGCGAATGTAATCTCCCATTCCATCTACAGCATGACAAAAATGATGAATGTCCTGGATGACTAATTTTTATATTCTTTGAATGTTAGAAATAACTACACTATTACATTATACACAATTGCACAATAACTACATGAACCACAATATTAGATTTCACAGGGATTAGAGTAACTCATTACATAGTATTTGTAAACATAGAAGAACAACTTCTAAGATCTTTGCTAAGGTTTAACTTTCCCTTCTATATTGATTTCAAATTATAATACTTTTGAATTTTACATGAGCTGCCTTGTGAACTCTGAAGGGGTTTAAACTGGACAAAAATATTTTTTCTAACATGAATAATTAACAAATAAATATAGAATAATAAATGTTTTCAATTCCCCAGTTCTGTCAGTTTTGTCATCACATAATGATTGCCTTAACTAGTTGGGTTTCAGGACAGTTTTAGTTTCCATGTTATTTATTTTGTTCCCAGATAACAAAATGATCTTCAGTCCTGACACTTACATTTAAGATCAGGCATCAACCCACTTAATTATTCTTATACCAACTAACTAAAATAAGAAAGTTATCTGGTTTAATACTGTTTCTTTATCAACAAAAAGTAATAGGCAAATTATTTAATGTGTATGAAAGCTGTATTTTTAGAAGAAGATTGATATAGTACTTTTTATGCAGTTTATAGTGATAGAAAACATCAGTGTTAAAGGCAAGTTGCTGGTTAAAAAAAAAGGCTAGCAATCTTACTCAGAGCTACCATACTGGACTGCAAAAATTCAGACCACTGATAGAATGCAGTATAGAGCTAATGTGTTCTGTCTCTGATTAGTGCCATCTAGTGGTCATTTGTAGTTTTGTTGTCCTAAATAAAGTACTGGTAATCTTAATTTTAGGATGCAGGTATTCACTGGGTTTGTGAAACAAGAGATTTATATTTCTACTTATAGGGATCAATTTAGAAAGATTGTTATCATATAATTACTATCCTGAAAGTAAATCCTATTAAACTCAATGAAACATATTTCTAGACTTATGTGATCAAAATAGCACAGTCGTAAATATCATCAAAAATTGCATATTAACACTGCATATTAAAAATGTAAATATTATATGTAATACAAGCTTGTCATTATAGTTACCATGTATTATTACCAATGCCAAGCCTGTAAGATGGGTCTGTCATCTAAAATAATAACTACAATATAATAAATTAATGGCTATATTCAATTACAGTCAGTACAGTTTCCTCTAGATCAGAAAGATAATCGTGAAATATATCTTGGCAACACATTTCTGTGGCTTTTATAACTTTGGTGGAGTTCTTGCTGTAAAAACGTAACTATCTTAAAATTATTTTATTGTATGATACTGGATTTCAGTTAAAAACATCTGAGTAGCCAAAAAGGAAAAGAGAACGGAACTGACCTCTAACATATGACTCAGTGACAATCCCCTATTTATAAAACTATGCTGAAACACTACAATGGAATGTTATGAAGCTTACTAATTTAACCATTATGGGCCCAAACGTGTCTTTAGCATTAAAATTATTATATTTATCAGGCCCAATAAGCTACACATGCACTGTGTCCCTTTTCACTAAAAAGTCAAGATGTTCAGCTTTTTAAAGGTTCTTAATGCAAACACAAATTTAGAAATCTCCAGAAAAACAACAATGAACTTTCCGGGAAAGTTTGCAGTACAGTATAAATGCAATACAGCATTATTTAAGCTAATTGTCTAGGCAGCAGTTTAAGTTATGAGAACAGAAAGTTCCATTTTACTGTTTTGGCCTATAAACATTCCAGGGCTTAGAAGCTTTTCATAAAAAAACTTGCTATGAAGGATTTGAAGCCAACATGTGTATGATTTGCAGCTTTCACGCTACATGTAGATCTACTCAAATCAATGCTCCATTTTTCAGAATAAATTTAGCATTCACTTTTCAGTGCTTGTGTTTTTGTGTGCCCTAAATTTTTCCAGAGAAACAAACACATTTCCCCCCAATGGAGATAATGCATTTCTTTTGTGCACCAAAATGGAAAAAAAAATAGTCTATCTATCTTCAGAACTTTGCCAGTTATGAAATCTAATTCTAAATTATTCAGGTTTGACTTGCCAATGCAACACCAAGTTTCTTACATCAGCAATAAATGACCAGAATTGAATCATATAATTCAAAAATTACAGCCCTGATCTGTTTGTAGCTGAAAGGAATAACACTTTGAAGTTGCAAATAGCAATTTTCCCCTCTGAGATACCTTCCAAGTACTGGTTTATGAAATTTCACTCTTATAACCGTGATGGCACACAGAGCCATATTGGTGGGCATGTGAGTGTTGCCCTAGCTCAGCTCCAGCATGCATGCGCGTGCTGGCCAACTGATTTTTGGGCCTTCTGGGCCCACCGGAAATCGGCAAATTAGCTGTTTCTGGCCTCCAGAGGGCCTCTGGGAGTGTGGGGAAGGCTTTCTTCGCCCTTCCCAGGCTCCTAGAAAGCCTCTGGAGCTTGGAGAGGGCAAAAAACAGGCCTACCAGGCCACCGGGCCATCACATGCCAAAAGCAAGGGGAGCGGGGGGGGGGTCGCGCGTGCATGCATGGGGAACAGGGCGCATAGAATTATGGGTGTGGGCACGCACACGCGCGACCACCCCGCACTTTTGACACGCGATGGTAAAAAGGTTAGTCATCACTGTCCTGTAAGCTCCAGCCCAGCATGGCCAATTGGTGAACAAGAATACGGCATTGCAAGGGATTTTAGGAAACAGCTCTCAAGTTGCTCCAGAAATTAAAATGACTTACCCAGTATCAGTGCTTCCAACACTGTACTTCAGAGGTGTTTTTATTTGTTGAGAAAAGAAGTTTAGCTCCACTGAAATCAATGTGACAAGTATATACTTGTCACATTGCTGCACTCTTATAGCGTGTTTCTAATTACAACATGTTCTATATATCTTAAAAGCAACACAGTAGCACAAAAAACAGTATTTGAATCATTTGGAACATTACATATAAAGTTTATGTTATTCTGAGTTTTAGTTGCTTTCATTTAAATCACATATTGCAAAATTCTGTGTTGTAAAACTATATGCTGAAATAATTTTATAGCTCTTTATTGTAACTATCAAAAGGTCTGGCATAGGTTTAGCTGTATGTCTTTTGTTTTTATGTTTTGTATTTTTACCCTGTTGCCCACGCTCTATGAATTGAGTCAGGTTATAAAACTCGAAAGAAACGAATAACAAAACAAACAAGAAATAGAATCCTTGGGAATAAATACAGTTATTAATTAAAATAATATTTTGGTTCAACTCAGAATGCTAAATTTGCTACCTTTATTGGTAACTAGAAACCCTTTGTAGACGTGTTGTGAATTATGACTGTGATGATTAGACAAGAGAGATTATATAAAGAATAATATTATGAAGCTAGGAGCAAGAAAAGTTAAAATATAATTGTACTTACAACTGCTGTGGAAAATATCAGAAGCCATTAGCTTATATATTTTTCTCTTGATTTCTTTCTTCTTCCTTTTTCCCTTACTTAATTTCTATTAGTTTTTATCTTTTTTTAAAAAAAGTTTTAAATACATCCACATCCACACATGCACACAATTTGCAATTTGTTATCATTTCTTTTGATATGCTCCAACTGTGTCTGTTTCTCTAATAACTCTTGATGCTATGAATACAGGAGAATAAAGCCTTCAGCGCGTCAGATTACTAGTTTGAGGTCAGTCTCCTTTTGCCTTTCTTCCCAGGTGGTAAATTTTAACTAAACTCGTTATAATTTCTTATAAACACATCTCCTTTCTGCTTCAACTAATCATTACTCAAATTCCTACTCTCAGGAATACTGATGAAACACAGAACACATCAATCTCCAACAGTACGTATTTTATTCCCATATTGTCTTTGAGGAAATTCCTTCTTAACTAGCTGCTGAACATTTCATTCATTACTGGATTTCCCAGATGTATCACTGTTACTATTATTGGTACGGTTCTATGTGAGGTCAGTGGGGCCTCTCACTCCTGCATACATATCACAGCATTGTCATCTAAAAGAATATTCCTGATTCTTATCCTACTTGTTTCATTTTAATTTTTTTTTTAACTAAAGGTCAGTGTGGAGAAAACATTTTGGATCTCAAATCCATTCATAGTTAGAATTTCGCTCTTGACTTTTGCTGAAATTAATTGCAGACATACCAGGTTCAACAGATTGAATTTGACCACGATTTTTAAAATGATGGTTTCTTGGTTAAGCTGAAACGAAATAAAACCACATTTCTACTTAGCCTGATGTGCAAAATTAACCTAAGTTGTTCCATGATTTTAGTGAAATGTACCAGAGAAACATAACACATGAAGTATACCTCATTGTGATTGATGAGGCATTTTTCTAGGTACAGTAAGTATTAAATTACAGTTGTCACAAATACATTTAGAAAATTGGGCAGGATTGTGTATGCATTGCAACTGGATTTAGTCTAAAAGCAGACCTGGGTATTTTACGGCTTCTGGGCCATTTCTGGCTCTTTGGCTGTCTCTGTCTTGTCAGGGAGGTGGGAGGTCAATTGGAAATTAGAAATCAAATGTAAATAAGTGCACCACAGGAGGCAGGAAAAGCATCCGAGTCAGGTCCCACTCTGCGCAATCACTTGGCTGGTGGCCATGGGAGGGGGAGAAGAGGAAGATAGAGCACTTTTCTGCGCTTACACAGTGCTCACCCCTCACCTGGAGCAGCCTGAGGAGTTTGAGGACATCAAATCAGGGTGTACATTGGTTTCGCCCTCCACAACAGTCCCAGTTTCTCATGTGACCCCTTGGGAAAATGAATTGCCCAGCCATGTATAGGTCACATAATGTTGAGAAAAAATATATAATTGGTTTTTATGCAGTTGGAAACAGAGTTTAACAAGAAATAGTTGTAGAAAGGTATAAGAAAAAAAATGAGATTGTTTCTTTTCAAATTATCTAATTAGTTAAAGGTAGTTATAAATTGTTTGAACTATCTCTGTCTCTATCTATCTATCTATCTATCTATCTACTACCTACCTACCTATCTACCTATCTACCTATCTATCTATGTCTATGTCTATGTCTATCTCTATCTATCTATCTATCTATCTATCTATCTATCTATCTATCTATCTATCTACTACCTACCTATCTACCTATCTACCTATCTATCTATGTCTATGTCTATGTCTATCTATCTATCTATCTATCTATATATATATCTATTATCTACCTATCTATCTATTACCTACCTATCTACCTATCTATCTATGTCTGTCTATCTCTATCTCTATCTATCTATCTATCTATCTATCTATCTATCTATCTATCTATCTATCACCTATCTATCTATCTATCTATCTATGTCTGTCTATCTCTATCTCTATCTCTATCTCTATCTATCTATCTATCTATCTATCTATCTATCTATCTACCTACCTACCTACCTACCTACCTACCTACCTACCTACCTACTTATCTACCTATCTATCTATGTGACAATTATCTATGTAACAGCAAGGAAAACATCATAGTCCTGTACCTCCTCTCAAATTTAAGGATTTCCTTTGTTTAATCATAGTATGATCATCTGGACCATCTGATGGGAAAAGCCTTGGTTCTTGCAAGCCTTTCCTTTGAGAATCACATTTGCTCTCTTGCTTTTGCTGTGTCCTTGGCCTTGTTTACTCATTTGCAAGACTGTAAGGATGTTTTAAAATTCCATTCAGTAAATGGGAGTATATTGTAAACCAAAAATTCTCAACTTAATCTTGGTTGAGCAGACTTTTGATTTGACTTGACAAAGCAGGGGCTGATAGCAACTGCAACTGTCTGGTGCCTAGTCTGCCCTTTCTTTACTGCCATTAGAAACACTAGGCCCACAGGATCTGATTCTCAGCCTCCATGCTACTATGCTCTTTTGTGGTGCACTAATCTGTTGTGCTTGAGGTTGCCAAATCATCTTCAGTCACAACATTGTTTCCTGTTGTGTCTCAGATTTCCTTTTTTTCCTGTTATTGAACAGATAAGTCAATTTTAACTGACAGGTGTCCACTGATTAATCCATTAAATCAAAGGCCTACTATATTAAATTCTGATTCAACTGAGATGCTCTTTGGGGGTACAAATTTCAACACTGCACCGATGTTAATGAGATGCTCAGGGGGTTGCTCAGGCTGCTGGGGGTTCGCAGGGGTTCGGGAAACCTCTAAGATTCTGTGCAGTTTGGAGAACCCCCAAATCCCACTCCTGGCTGGCCCCGCCCACCCCTCCCGTCCCAGGAGTCCCATGTGGCCCATTTGGATGCAGGTAAGCGCATGCGGAAGCTCGGGGAGGGCGAAAAACGGGCCTACCGGAAGTTCAGGAAGGCTGGAAAGGGGCTCATTTCTGGCCTCCAGAGGGCCTCCGGAGCCTGGAGAGGCCATTTTCGCCCTCCCGGAGGCTTGAGAAAAACCTCTGGAACCCAGGGAGGGCAAAAACACCCCCCCACACACTGTGGTGCAGGAGGCCGACTAGGCCACACCCACCATGGCCGTGGCCACGCCCACCCATCAGAGAACCCCTTGCTAAAATTTTTGAAGCCCACCCCTGGAGATGCTATGAGTGTTGCTGTGACGCTTTTCTATAATGGCTGTTTCATTTGTTCCATTTTCTTGCACTACCCAATGTCATCTTGCAGATGTCACGAAAATTGTCAGACTGACAATTTAAATTATGTCCTCATGTTCTAATGAAAGTCCTGCCAGATCACCGTCAGTTCCTATCACCTTGTGAACTGTTTCCAGGCTTTCTGCAGATTGGAAAGTGGCAAAAGGCTTCAAAATTAACAATGGTTCAGTATCAACTTCAAAGCACTAATTCAAAAAGTCAACCACAGACTCTGCTACTTCAATACAGGCAGTGCCAAGATTTCTCCTATCAGATACATGTTAGTGGTGTTCACTGCATCTGTTCATGCATTTTGTTGCCAACTGAATTTCTTTCAGCATCTCCGTTCCATTTGACTCTGTAATAGTTTCATCTGTGAAAGCCTTGACCCAACTCACCAAACAAATGTTGTTCTTTCAGTGCCAATAACTTTGAGTTTATCTACATTGTCAGTAACTCCGTATCAAGAACAACAATCCCATATTTTTGCAGTTGCTTCTGGTATCCTCTGTAAGCGTATTAGCTAGAAAGCATGGATGTAAAAGATTATGAAGGAGATTTTTAAGAAACCCATGTACTGTAGGTCCCCTGCTGTTGAAGTCTTCTCTGAATGTTCTTCTTCAGGTTGTCTTCAACTTATGTCCACAATGAACCCCAAAATTTATGTTGCCAAGCAAGACAATTGTTAAGTGAGCTTTGCCCCATTTTACAAATTTTCTTGCCACTGTTAAGTAATCACTGCAGTTAAATTAGTAACACTTATTTCCTGACAGCGAGAACAATTAATCAGCTTAACTGGTTGCCTCCCGAAGTTGTGGGTGCTCCAACACTGGAGATTTTTAAGAAGAGATTGGAGAGACATCTGTCTGAAATGGTATAGGGCAGTAGTGGCAAACCTTTTACTCACCGAGTGCCAAACAGCTATGCACTTCACTTACGCATGGCTCCCCCATGCCCTGTGCTCACAACCACACCATCTGCACATGCACATGGCTTTCATGTGCCTCAGTGCGCTGTGCACGCAACTGCACCATCTGTGCATGCATGTGGCTTTCACGCAGCTCTCCCGTGTACTGTGCACGCAATTGCACCATCTGCGCATGTGTATGGCTTTCACACACGTAATGCACGCATGTGAACACCATCTGCACATGCGGCATGAATGCCATCTGCACATGTGTGCACTGTGTACAGGTACACACACACATGCACAAATGCGCACACATGCACAGGAGAGCTCCAAAGACAAGCTGGGTCCCTGGAATTGCATGCATGCACACTGGAGGCCCAAACACCAGCTGGGTCGCACACGCATGCACAGCTGCAGGTGAGTTGGGTGACAGCTCGCGTGCCTGGAAAGATGGCTCTGCGTGCCACCTTGGGCACGCGTGCCATAGATTCGCCATCACCGGCATATGGTCTCCTGCTTGAGCAGGAATTTGGACTAGAAGACCTCCAAGATCCCTCCCAACTCTGCTATTCTGTTATTCTGTCTTCTATTTAGACTTTTTTGTGAAAATGAAATGATAGTTGTTACCTTCTGCGGTAGTCAAAAAGTCTCTGGATCTGAGACCTTGTTTAGCCTTGCTAAAATATATGTCCAACTTTAAGGGATTTGCCAATCCCCATGCATTTTTTTCCCCATAATGATCTAACCCTAACTTGGTCCTTCAGCAATTTAAATGATGCATTCATGCCACTCTGAGTCCATCCACCTTGCTGCTGGTCATCCTTTTCTCCTCTTTCCTTCCACCTGTCAGAGCATTACAGCCTTCTTTAGACAGCTAGATCTTTGCATAATGTGTTCAAAGTAGGATAATTTAAGCCTCATTATTGTGCCTTAAGTGAGAACTCTGGGTTGATTTATTTGATGATCATTTTGTTTGTTTTCTTGACTTTCCATAGTATTCTCAGGAATCTTCTCTGACAGCAAAGTTCAAAAGCATCAATGCTCTTCCTATCTTGTTTCTTCAAAGTCCAACTTTGGAGGGAATATCATGGCTTGCATAATTCTGATCTTGGTAGGTATGACACATCAGGGCATTTGAATATCTTTTCCATGCTCTACCAAGTGCTTGTGTGTGGCATATTTCTTGTCTGCTTGTTCCTTTACAATGGTAGATCCTAAAAGGGCAGATGTGATCCACAACTCTGAAATCTTCATTGTCAATTCCAAGGCTGATTATTGTCATTATTAGTATTTATATTTAATTCTAGTCCAATTTTTTCACTGTTCTCTTTTATCTCTATTACAATACAAATCCTTTGCATTTTCAGCAAGTACAATTATAAAGTGTGACATCATGTGACTTCATTGCAGCACTTTCTGTTTTTTTTTTAAATCCCAATTTTAATACTTTATAAGTAACTCAGAGTGGTGAACATACATACTCTTCCTTCTTCCTCCTATTTTTCCCACGATAACAACCCTGTGAAGTGAGTTGGACTGAGATTTGATTTGATTTGATTATATTTTTATACCGCCCTTCTCCCGAAGGACTCAGGGTGGTGAACAGCCATAATAAAACAATATACAAGACAAATTTAAAAACCATATTAAAATAATTCAATTTTTGGCCGAATTTAAATTTCCCATTCTACAACCCTTATAAAACCATGTTAAAAACCCATATTTAAAACCCGATTAAAATTATTGTCCCATCAGACCAGCTTGCTGGAATAACAGGGTCTTCAGCACACGACGGAAGACACGGAGGTCAGGGATCCTTCGTATATCCGGGAGCAATTCATTCCATACGGCAAGAGCCCCCACAGAGAAAGCTCTCCCCCTGGGAGTCGCCAGTCGACATTGTTTGGCCGATGGCACCCTGAGGAGGCTCTCTCTGTGGGAGCGTATCGGTTGGTGGAAGGCAGTCAGTGGCAGCAGACAGTCCTGTAAATATCCAGGCCCTAAGCCATGGAGCACTTTAAAGGTAGTAACCAACACCTTGGAATGCACCCGGAAGACCACCGGTGAGAGAGAATGACAGGACCAAAGTCACTCAGCTGGCTTTTATGCCTAAGGCGAGTCTAGAATTCAGTCTCTTGGATTTTAGGCCACCACTTAACCATTACTTCAGATTGGCTCTTGTTCTTGTTGTTAAGTGAATTCCACATCATCACTAAGCAAGGATCTCATGGGACCTTCTGCTGGCTTCCCAACTGACTTTGCTTGTAGGAGGCCAACAAAGAAGGTTGTTCATGATGACCACGTGACTGCAGGATACTGCAACATCGTAAGAATGAGCAAGGCATCAAGTGTCTGGATTGCAATCGTGTGACTATAGGGATGCTGCAACAGATGGAACTTCATGGACTGCTCATAAGTACCACTCATTCATTGTCATCTCAAGCTTGAATAAATGAATGCTTATTAAGTAAAGACCACAAAGTGTTCCAGTACTCAAATTATTTCATAATATCTAATATTCCAATCCATTTGGACAGAGTTGGTTTGGATACAGTTCTTGCAGCATCTCCAAGGATGAGCATCTGCAATTTCTTCTTGATTGCCCAGTGAAGCCATTGTTGGCTGTATGAGAGCTGTATTCAGATCAGCACATTAAGTAAGAGCTTAGCTGCTGCTATGCATGTTATGTCAATCAATTGTGCATGAGATATAACAACTAGCAAAGCTGCTGCAAAATGCAGTGTATGACTAAATGATACAAGCCGGCATTACAGAAGGATTGTTTTTAGGGCAGTAGTTTAGATTTATTTTTTAATTTGAGACAAAGTAATACAAATACATGTGTTTGTATATAATATAGTACAGAACATCTAGCTTCAAGATTAGCTTGACTTTTCCTATACAGTAAAAATCTCTTTCCAGCTGACAACGAATGGCAGAATTCACAGCAAAAAAAACAACTTTCCTTCTCAATCTTTCAAATCTTTCAGATACAATTATAGAAACCTCTATTATAATACAATTCCCAGTCTCCATTAGCATCTTGCTCTGCCCATCTGCCAACATTAATCCGTTCTTCAGCCCTCTACAGAAATATACAAGTTTGCTTTGTTTTTTTTTTAGTTTGTTTTATTTTTTAAAAAAACACCTATGACACTTAAATAGCTTTCTAAATATTTCTGTTCCATTCAGCACAGACTCCTCAGGAGGCAATAGCTCTCAGAAAGAGCCTAAGACTGGGAAAATAGCTTACCTAAACAGAGTATCAGGTTTACAGACATTGCAGCCAAAAAGTCTTAGGACTTCCAGACACAATGAAGGTTCAGTGAAGACATTTGATATGAGTTTTCCACAGAGTTTTGCCAATCAAATAAGTAATACTGCACACTGTTTGGCTCTTCTGATGGTGTCCATTCAATTGTCTGCATTCCCCTGCCTCCGGGCTCATTTTTCTCCCCTTACAGTAACATGTGGCTTCTGAAAGAACCTCATCATCTCTTGATGGGCTTGTTCCTTAAGGTTTTACTTAAAGCTGAGAATGAGATACTATTTTGTTGTGGCCAATCTGTTCCCTTTGCTAAATTGTCCAACAATAGGTTTACAACTAAACTTGATTTAAGGGCAGCAACAATTAACAAAGTATTCCAATTTTAGTGCTTGGCTTTGTATTCTGTGATACCATCAATCTTTGCTCTTCACCCTAAAGAAAGTTCCAAGATTAATTGTTCCCAAAAATAGTTCTGCCTATATGTTCAGATGTCTAAGAGAACTTGAATTGTTTTTCAAACTTGTCTTACTTTAACCTCACAAAAAAAAC